AGCCCAGAAAGGTGGGCACAAGTGAGCAGGTGGGGCCACTGCATCTGCGCTCCAAACTGCCACCAGGTGCATGCAGTCAAACAATGTCTCTGCTCCTGTGAGGTGTCAGCTCCAGGCTGCTGCTCAAAGCCAGAGGCTGAGCATCCTGACACGGAGAAAGGCTGTCCAGACCCCAGCAGACCCCCAGAAAGTTGTTCAGACCCTTACAGGCTCCAGCTAATGAATCTCTAACCACCTCTAACCAGTATTCACCAACATGGCACTGGGGGTGAGGGGTGGGGGATGAAGAAGATTATGGACCACTGTCCCTGAAAGAGGTAACAACTCATTCTCAACCTTGTTGAGGTGGCACACAGTTGAAGGCAACCTGAATATCCATGATCGTTATGGGAGTGGCTAGGTAAATTGTGGCGACTACAAACTGTTCATCCGTTAGGAAAAAAAATGGATTCGATGCAAACTGCCAAATGTGAATGGTCTGAAAAGTACAGTGCTGAGAGAAAAAAGTGGGAAACAGAATGGGCTATAAAATAGAGTGCCTTGTGTAAACTGAAAATGCACGCAGTGGTGAGAAACCGTCGCCTCCAAGGGAGCCTAAAAAGACATGACAACTAACTGTAATGTGGTATCCAGGATAGGACCCTGAGACAGTAGGTAAAAACTATGGAACTCCAAATAAAGTACAGATTTTAGTTAATGAGAATGTATCAATATGGGTTCATTAATAGTGTCGTATGTACCACATTGATGTAGATGTTAATAATAGGGGACCCGGGTACGGGGTATACAGCAACGCTGCCTAATTTTTCTGTAACTCTGAAACTGTTCTAAACAATAAAGCCCCATAAATGACAGGAAAAAATACACAAAGCAAGAACGACATTATACATTTCACAGAACCGCAAAGAGCTGGAATGATTGCCTATGGAGTGAGCAGAGAGTGAAGAACGAGGGGGTATTTAAATAAGTAAGGAGAGGGTCCTTGTGCAGACCAATGATAACAGTGCACTGACTGAGAAGTGCGACTCACTCAGTTCGACATCAGAGGTCCCAGAACGAATACCAATAGCAATGATACATTTTTAGAAAATACAGAGAGAGAGAGAGGACACTGCCAGACAGTAGATCCTAATGGCTACATGAGTGGTGGAGGCTCTGAAGACAGAAGGGGGGCCCCGGGGAAGCTGGGTAACCTGAAATAGCCCCATGAAGGAGGAGGGAAATAGATCTGGAAGCCAGTGATGGGGGCTGGGAGGGAGGAGTGTTTGGTGGTTACACAACAGGGACAATAACCCAGGACCCGCTCCACAGTCCCATCTAACACTGGTCAGTCTGAAACGCTATCCCGGGTCCTTCTTAATTCCCAGCCACAGCCAGGAAAATCCAATGGCAACTAAAATGAAACATATTGGAGGGCAGCAAAGATGGGCAAGATTAGTAGTAGGAGTAGTGAAAGTCAACAGGATAGTTATCTTTGAATTTCAGATCAATAATGCATTATTTTTTAGTATAAGTACATTCCCAATATTGCATGGGGCAAAGTTGTGCTAAAAAATTATTTGTTATTGCTCTGAAATTTACATTTGACTAGGCATCATGAATTTTCATCAGCTAAATCTGGCAACTCTAAATAGTAATAATAGCAGTAACACCAACTCATTACTGTTTTAGATGCTTTCTTTAGTTGTCTATGCATAAAAACGCAAGGAAGAATGGATTGTTATTCCTACTTTACAGACATGGAAACTTTGACTCAAAACAATCAGGTCACTTGCCCAGGTCATGAGGCTGCTATATGCCAGGCCTGGGATGTGAACACCTGTATTTGGACTCCAGAGTCCATGTCTTGAACGTGATGCTGCTTCCCAGCTGAGCAGGGGAACAAGGTCTAGGCCTCCGCTCCCTGGCACCCACAGGCAGGTGTGTGGACTGCAGCCTGCCACGGTGGTAGTGGCAAAAGTTCCTGTAAGAGTGGAACACTGTAACCCACCCCACCATCCTTTTGACACTGTTTGTGTAAGTGTGGACTCTGACTAATATGTAGCTTGTAAATGAACAGCAGGTTTGTATAAGAATCCCAAGAACTACTGTAATTTGCCATGTATAATGTGCTCCCGTGTATATCGTGCTCCCACATTTTTGGCCTAAAATTTCTTTCTTTTGAAAAAAAATCTTTCATTTTAATTTCTTAACTCAATATCTTGTCATTAATATTTAGATACTTGTTTTTTGTATTATAAAGGGATTTTAGCATTTATTTTTTAATATATTATGGTGCAAGAATTTTTCTGTAACAAATAATTACAAAACACAGGAACAGATACAAGGTATTTCAGGTACTATCCATGTATAACGCACATCCTTATTTGTCCCTCAAAAGTTCGGGCAAAAACGTGCACATTATACATGGCAAATTATGGTAGTTTCAAAAGGTGTAGACTTCGACCTTCAAGCCTTCCAAACCGGAAGATTTGCTGACCTTCAACCTTGGAACCATGATGACGTGAAGCCAGGACAACTAAACCCGGATGACGCACACAGGACTGTCACTTGCCTTATCGGAATGGACTGTGCTCGTCTGCACATAGAGAACTTTGCAACCCCCTCCCTTGGTCTTTATTCTGTTCCCCTCTCCCCCCTGATAAACACCTCTGCCTGCACTGAGAGGCGGGGATGGGCTTTGTGACACAAGTCCTCCATCTTCCAGGTGGCTGGCATCTGCAAATAAACCACTTTCCTTTACATCCGCACCTGCCTCTCAAGTATCGGCTTTCATAGCGGCAGGCAGCCAGACCTGCCTTTCAGTTACATTCCTGGGCCCCCAGAACATGCCAGTACCTCAAGAAACCTTCCCACCAGACCCCAATCAGAGGCACCAAGCAAGCGTTGGGTTTCCAAAAGTAAAAATCAGCACTCCCACAGAAAGGAAGCCCCAGGTAGCCCTAAAAGAGCACTGTCCCTACGCTGGTGAAAAGAAAAACCAGAGAAGTGGCACAACAAAGGTCAGAGCCAGGCCACAGGCAATCCTGCCCGGGGACACGGAAATGAATGAATGACCTCTGGGTGGGAGGTGGCGGAGGAGGGTCCCTTCCAGTGTGGGGGTGGGATTAACTTGAATCTTACAAAACAGGTTTCTGATGAGAGTGGCCCCTCACCCCTCAGCATGATACCTCTTAAAAGAATCCTAATGAGCATTTATTGAGCACTGACTGCATATCAAACATTGTGCTGGATGTTTTCATTGCCCTGGTGTAATAATGGGAGGGGTAAAACCCACTCCAGCAGGGTGTCTTTTATTTTGTAGATGAGGAACCTAAGCCTCAGGGAGGTCACTTTTTTATTCAAGTAACATTTGAGCACCGACTGCTTGATTGTTTAGATTCTGTCCTAGGTGCTGGGGATACAGCAGTAAACCAAAAAAAAAAAAAAAATTAAAGAAAGAAAGAAGACCCCTGCCTTGATGGAGCAGGTGCAGGCATAGATAAAATAAATAAATAAACCTTTCGTGTAATTTCAGGCAGTGAGGTTAAGTGGATGAAGAAAAGTAAAGCAGGATCGAGGAACAGCATAATGCGGCAAAAGAATTCTAACCGGGATGATCAGGGAAGATGTGTGGAGGAGGGAGCTTTTGAGCAAAAGTGTGAAGTAAGAGAGCCAGTGTGCACAGGCCTGGGGAAGGGGGCTGACCAAGGGGGCAGCCAAAGGCCCCGAGGTGAGGGCAACCAACACACGCTGGGCTGCCCAAAAAGCTAGTCTTTTCCTGTAAGATGGCTCTCGTAGTGCTTAATTGTCTTTAACTTCATTTGAAACAATTTTGTTAGATTGTATTGCGACAGTTGTCATATCAGCATGCATTTTTTAAAAAACTTACCAAATTGGTGAGTTTTTATGTTGCCATTTTAATAGTGAAGATGGAAGAAAAGAAGCAACATTTCTGATATACTATGCTTTATCATCTCAAGAAAGGTAAAAATGCAACTCAAACACAAAAAAGATTTGTACAGTGTAAGGAGAAGGTATTGGGACAGATTGAACATGTCAAAACTGGTTTGCAAAGTTTCATGCTCGAGATGTCTCGCTGAACAATGATCCTTACTCTGGTAGACCAGTTGAAGTTGATGGTGATCACATCCAGACATTCACCGAGAATAATCCACGTTGTACCATGCAGGAGATAGCCGACATACTCAAAATATCCAAAACAATAAAGTTATTGGAGAAAATGGAAAATGTGTCTTTTATGTTATGGAAAAAATCATGCAGACTCTTTGGCCAGCCCAATACAAGATAAGGCTGGAGCAGATGCAGAGGAGTGGGAGGGGTAGGAAATGAGTTTGGAGAGCATGGCATTAGCAGATCATTTTTAAAGGATTGCTGTGATACGAAGACATGGATGGGTAGAGGGATGGATGGATGGATGGATGGATGGATGGATGGATGGATGGATGGGTGGATGGATGGATGGGACAGATATGTAGAGGAACAGATTTCCATAGATTCCCTTAAGCTGGCTACTGACCAGAGGCGAGAATATATATAACTTGTAAATTGTTAAAATGTGTTCAATATTTGGTTCCCATGTAATCAACTCCCCCGGGGTCCCAAGCAAGCACATAGCAGAATTTTGATCCCAAGTTCCACAGGCAAACAGAGCTTTCATCCCAAGGAAACCATTATGGAAAAGGCCACAAGGTGGGGCCTCAGGACACCAGGAAGAAATCTCTACTAGGCTGATTCTCAGCCAGCAGACTGACATATACACACATACACACTCCTACTACCTGGGACCCCCTAGGTAGAGTCACTAACTATACCAATACTCTTCCTCAAGTCCTTGGGCAAGAAAACCTGGTTTCCCACCAGGAAAACCAAAAAAAAAAAAAAAAAAAGCCACTTTCCAGAACAAAGCCAAGCCTCCCTACAGGTGACGCTGATCCCCAGGAGCCCAGCCCTGCAGGGCCATCCCATCCCACAATCCTGTGACACCTGCCCAACCTCACCTCCAAGTCCTTCTCCAGCTCCAGCCCAGCCTCCATCAGGTTGTGCTCAAACTCTTCCCGCTGCTCCTTCCTCTCCTCCTCCAGGGCATCCAGCCGCCCCAGCTCAATGTCATGAGAGCCCCCAGCATGGGGATCCTTGCCAGTCTCCCCATTGGAGATGATGGCCAGTGAATGGCCATGGCCAGGGTGCGCCCCGCGTTTCCGGTAGTGGTAGGCAAGCACGTAGTCAACCTTCCTTTGGTTGTCATAGAAGTGCGTGCGACTCAGGCAGGCTTCCGAGGACACTGGCTCGTTGGCATCCAGGTAGTTGTTGATGACCTGGCCAGGGAAAACAGAGCAGGAACAGTGAGGTCAGGTGAGAAAGGGGCAGGAGACAGAGGAGGCTGATCTTGCTCTGACCCAAAAAGGTGCAGTAGGGAGCAAGCCCCTCAGGCCCAGAGGCCCAAACTGTCCCAGTGAAAGGACAGAGTGGCCTAAATTCATCTGCCACACCCAGCCTTCCAACCGCCTGTCCACAGCCCAGGCACGGATGCCTCCACACCTGCTCTGGCCTTCATGCACACCCATATGCTCAGGTACCCAGCCTGCACACGCAGCAGCAAACCCCTGCCTTAACATTCAGAGCCACAGGCCCACTCCTGCACACACATAGTCACGTACACCCAGCCTCTCAGCACCAGCACACACATCTGTGCGCATGGACATCACGCAAGTGCACTCTGACACACACACAGCCCTCCACATGCACAGTGGCACACCCACCTCCATGCGGATCTGCCAACATGCATACTTACGCACGCAAAGTACTCACTGGCAGGTTCTCGGGATCCATTGGAACAAAGGCCAATTTCTGGTCACCTGGTCCACCTCACAGGGATTCACTACACACTATGCCTTTCACAGCTCCACATCATCCTCTTCCTCATACTCTCCAGCCACTGGTGAGGATGCTGCCACCGACGGCAGCAGGGGACTGGCTCTTGCCCTCTTACACCCGTGGAGATGGGATGTTGAGAGAAAAGAAGGAGAAAGAACGAGGCGGAGCAGAGGAGGGACCTGCCTCCCCTTTGGATGTTTCCCTGTTTATTACCAGTTTGATACCCAGCTGCCTCGGCAGCCACCTGAGAGGTCACCAGGGCAACCAGGCACAGGGGAAAGCCTCCAGAGCCACCACAGCAGAGGCGGGAGGGGAGCCAGGGAGTCTGCCAGCAGGTGGACACCTAGCAGGTGGGATCACCTGGCCTCTCATACCTCCTCCTTCCCTGGCCTGCCCTTCTCGGAGCAAAAGACTCCAGTGTGGACATTATGCTTCATGCCTTAGAGAAAAGAAAGGAAAAGGACCTAATAAAAACCCCCAGTCTTTCTCTCTCTCTCTCTCTCTCTCACTCACACACATGCATGCGTGCGCGCGCACACACACACACCTGCCCCCTAAGTGGAGTGTCCTCAGTCAAGAGGCTCCCTTAGGGCCCCCAACAGGGCGAGCCGTCCCCCCGGCACCCCAGTACTCACAGAGCTGCTGTGGGAGTGCTCATCACCAGAATGTTGGCCAGTGTGTCTCTTGGAGCTGCCCTGCAGATCTGGGGCTCGGGGACCCAGCACCTTGAGGTTTTGAGGTCCTTGTCTGGGTCCCTGCCCACCCCTGGCCACCACCTGAGGGCTCAGCCAGCCTGGGGAGCCAGGGAGCAGGAGGATATCTGTGAGAGGGAAAGACAAAGGCGGCAAAGCCGCTTCAGGTGATGGGAAACCCAGGACACAGAGAAACTGAGGCACTGAGGGAGGGGACAGGGGTGGTTCTAAAAAAATGGTCATGTCTCCTCAGATCCAGGGTCACACTGGCCACAAGGGAGAGGAGAGTGGAGAAGAAAGTGGGGATTGGGGGAAGGGGCGTCTCACCCACTACACACACGCACACACACACACACGCACACACTCTCTCTCTCTCTCTCTCTCTCTCTCTCTCTCTCTCTCTCTCTCTCATTCACTCACACATTCACACAGAGCCTGGAGTCGCCAGCAGGAGGCCCTTTGGATCATGGCTGTCATAATTTCTTGTAATTCCCACACAAAAGGGTGGCATCAGGCAAGGCAGGGTGGGTTGGACACTGTCAGGAGAGAGACCTTGAATTAATGCCAAAGGCTTACGTTTTAGCATTAGCCTAAATGCTCAGTGCTAATACTAATTAGCCTAATTTCACATTAGCTAAATTAGCATCCCGGGACAGCCAGACCAGCCAGCAGCGCCCCTAGAGGAAAGGCGAGGACAAACCAATGGTGGGCCCACCGAGGGCAGGAGTGTCCTCTGACAAAAGGACAGCCTCCGATGCCCTGAGGGCTCCCCAAGCACCTGCTGGCTCCACCAAGGCCTCAGAGTCCCAAGGCCCCTGTTTGGCCCCGCTCAGAACAGCCCTCCTCACAGCCCACAGCAGGACCGCATGCTATTGCAGGAGACTCCTAGCCTCACCGCACAGGGGAAGGACCCCAGGTGCTCATGGACCTGCAGCATATTAGAATTGGAGGGGGCTGAGAGATGAGACCCTCCAACACTGCTTGGCACCAAAATCCCAGACAGGGGCCACAAGTTGCAGAGGTCTCGCCGCTGATCACTCAGTCTCTTCCCACCTCTGAGAAACACTTTCAAGCAGAGCAACAGAGCCCAGGGTGCCTGGACTCAACCTCAGCGCTGGCACCTGGGCTTAGACCTCCGCTCTGCCATGCTGACTCTGAGACCTCTCTGAGCCTGTTTCTTCAGCTGTAGACAGGGAGAATCCCAAACTTGTGGGACTGTAATAAGAATGAGAACTGGAAATGGAATGCAAAGTGCCCAGGACAGTCATTAGCCTTTGCACTTGCACTAAAAGGTGGTTATTATCATTATTCTTCTTGTTTTCATTTTAAGCTCTGTGTAAGCGGAGATTATGCCTTATACATCGCACCCTTTCATTCAGCCCTTCGTCCCTCCCTGCTGAATGAGTGAGTGAATGAATGAGCAACAGCTCTTCCTCGTCTCTTGAAACACTGTTTCTGGCCAGTTACGAGGTTGTGGAGCAGCGCCTACGTGCCCAGCTCTCTGCTTGGCAATTTCAGTACACCTAGAATATTTGGTCCCTGCACTTGGTAAACTTAGCATCTTTCATGCAGAAAACACAAGTATGGCCAGCAGCGTGAAGCTTTTATCATTTATTTCAACATTGTGGAATCCAGTCCCTATTGTAGGAGACCAGGAATCTAGGTCAGGGTAGGCTTCCAGAGGAATTAAGCCTAAAGCTGATCTTGAAAGGTAGGTGGCTTCTGGAAGATATTCCCTAGAGACAGAAAACAGGAGACAGGAATGGGCACGCACGCTGGCGGAGGGACGACGGGCGGTGGGGGAGGAGCTCCATGTCAGGACATCTTGTGAATATCCTTCCTTCTGGCTAGGACATGCTTCTCCATCTAGCTGCGGCCCCCTGCTCTTTCAGTCATTCAAGTCAAAAGTAGTACATTCTTCTTTCAAAAATCTGCCAGCAAGGTGTAAGACAGGAATATTCAGATATTACTAATAAAGCTAATTCCCTCCCACCCCAGACATGATTGCAGTCCCACCAGCTGAGGTGGTAAGGGAAGGGGGACCCACAGACACGTAAAGGCATCAGAGGACGGCCTCTGAGCTCCAATCGGTGGACTCCATTGGTCAGCAGGGAGCCTCGGAGAGTGGGGCTCAAGGAGCAGCATTTACTGTCTGGTGTCACTGAGTGAAGAGAACCCCTTGGGGCAGCCCAGGTTTAGTCAGTGGGCCTATGTCCCCAAGCCTCTGCCCAGATCCCCAAATGGCCACCCCAAATGTGACCAGCCCCTCTTTCAATTATCCAAGACCCTCGTAAGGCACTGGAACATTGGGGCTGGGGGAAGGAAACCCTCTTCACCGTTAAAGTATAACCGAAAGAAAATGACCAAGGCCTCCGTCGTGGCGTGGACAGGGGGCAATCTCACCTTGACAGCAGCACCTGCCCACATCTACACCTGACCCCCGTCCATTCTCCTCCTCCACCCTCAGAGGGGTTTTTTTAAACTGTGCACCACATTACTCCACCGTCCCACTCAAAGCCCTTTGATGCTTCCCCATTGCCAAAGTATAAAATCTTTACCATGAACTGAAAGGTGCTGCATATCTTCTCCAACCGTGTTCCTGCTCTTCTTGGTATTCCTCATCTCTTTGAAACTGGAGTTTTCTGAATATTCTTATTTGCTCCATTTGTAGAGACACTGAAGCATAATGGTGCCATAGGGACACTTGATAGTGAGGTGGGGCTGCGCTTCTTGAGAGCAGGGAGGAAATGGAGAGAAAGAGGGCAGTGTCCTGGTCTTCGCCTGCTGTTTGGAGGCACCTACAGCCTGTCTGCATGGCCCAAAGCCACAGTGGGCAGTCTTTGTCAGGCCAAGGCTAAGAAAATCAGGACATGCCAGGCAGTGATTTGGGACTACATAGATATAGCACAAGGCTAAGCTCTACAGAACCACCTGAAAAGCATGAAGCTTGACTTAACCACACGGTTCTCCTTCCCACTGTACAGCCCTCTCAAGACTAGCCATCAGCACGGAACCAGGAGTGAGCGCAGCCAGGCTGAGCCTCCGTGCCTAGTCCTGGCTTGGCCATAATTTTGGACAAATAAATACTTTCTCTGTGCTTAGCCATTCCTTCCATGACTGGAGGTGGGAAGGTGTCATTACTGTATCTTTTCCTCATAGGACCAGCATGATGACACCATAAAAGGAAAGAGCAACATTCCTTGGAAGTACCTGAGCTATGGAAATGCAAGAGATCACATCAAATCCCACTTGGGGCTTTGCCCTCTCCATCTGACTTCTCCGCTTCATTCCGGCTGCTCTGCTCCAAGTCCCCAGAACTCCCTTTCTCTCCCAGCTACCTGCCTGCTTCCTATTTACTTCCTCCTGGAAGCTTTTCTAGACTACACTGGAAAAGCAGCAGCTGTCTGTCCCTTGTTACAATGTGGAATTTGATTTCCTTGCTCATCTGAGACCACCAAACACTGTTTTGCCCTTGTAGGTCCAGTCTTGGCTGTTTTAGGGACAAACTCTGTCCCTTCCAGTCAGATCCAACCTCCACCATCTTACTGGGCTGCAGGCACCTTAGGATGTGCTACAGAGGCAGATTAAGAAATAGGATCAGAGACTTGGAGGGAAAAATAATAGAGACTAAAATCAGGGAGAAGCCCAAATCTAAACAAAAAGCCAGGCGGAGCTTGTTTTCGGAGTCCTGTCAATGCTGGCCTTTCCACCGGTCCTTCCCTGCCCGAGGCCCCTCCCCAGCCTTGGTTCCCCCATATTCTAGGCCTGCATGTTCCCATCCACCATCAGGGCCTTCTGTGCCCATTTCTTCATTTAGCTGTTGGCTGTCATGGCGGAGAAGCCGATTTATACCAAAGTACAAATAGTCCACGCTGACACCTTGAGATAATAGAAGCGAAAGCATTCTGAAATCTTTACAGGACCCTACTACACATGTCACTAGCCCTGCATGTGTGCAGGGGCAGGGGTCTTAGCTGAAGGCGTACGCTCTAACGGCGGGCACCGGTACACTGCGCTAGAGGAAGGGAGAGGTGCGGACGGGGAGGAGTTCTTTGGGGCCACTTGGAGGGGCCTCTGAGTAGGGAGAAGAACAGAGCAGGATGTGGAGAATTTATTACAGTAAGAAAGGCTCGTGTGGTAGGCAATGGGGTGAGGGGGAGAAAGTGGCTCAAAGGGACCAGGTGGCACAAGCAAGAGGAACGCAGGGCCAGGCTAGGCAGAGAAAGAGCAGGAAGTGGGCTTGCCAGGCATGGAAGAGGGCGA